TGTTACTCTGTTCATCGAACTATCTCGTAAAAAAAATTGATAGTCTTGGATTTCTAAAAAGCCTCTGTTTTAGGATAAAGGATCGGGGAAACACGTTTCTCCGTTGATCTTTGGTATATGCAAGAGGGACACAGCGATCGATCAAATGCTAGCATTTAAATCGACAACGGACAAAGAGAAGCTGCGATAAATTCTTTCGTTTAAGTAGCGGTAAGCGTTTCCAAGATATCTTCGGGAGTCTTATTTAATTTACGAAAGTTTTCCCAGTGTTCCTTAGGTACAGTCCACTTGAGGAATATCTCAAGATTCCTGGTAAGAGTTTCCAATTCGGAGAGACCGTGGCTCGCTACCGGATCTTTACCGGCGGATATTAGAGAATCGTGGAGAACCTCGTCGATCAGTCGTTTACCAAACCCTAACTCGTCGAGCCTTTCCTGCTTGCTGATCCTCTTCAGTAGTACGGCGAGCAATAATCTCATCCTCTCCACGGTCATCACCCTGTATTTCGAGGGTGGAGGCGAGGGTTTGTCGATAATAACGTTCTCGCTGGAGAACGAGCTGATGGTGGTGGTGGTGGTGGTAGTGGTGGTGGTTGTCGTGGTTTGCAACGCGTTCAGCGTCGGTGTCAAGGGTATCGCGATCATGGATATAGCGTCGGAGATAATTCGAGCGTCACGTTCAGTTCCTATTTCGGGATGACAAGTCTTCTCATGGCACTCGAGATCGTTTTTGATCCTGAAGAAGCTGGGGCACTTTTTGCAGGCGTACGGCTCGTTTCTACCGTGGATGCACTTCATGTGCTTTTTCCAGTGGGGTAGCTGAGTGAAACCAGCGTTACACTCGGCGCATTTGAACGGTCTTTCGCCGGTGTGCCTCCTGGTGTGAAGCTTGAGCGCTGTAGAATGGGCAAACGCTTGCCAACATACCAGACACCTGAACGGCCTCTGGCCAGAATGGGTCCTCTGGTGTACGGTCAGCTGTGACTTTTGAGCAAATCTTTGGCCGCAGGTCGCGCAACCATGAGGTCGATCGCGCGCGTGCGTCCTCATGTGCTGAGGTAGATGGCCCTTGAACGTTTTATTGCAGATCACGCATAGGAACGATTTCACGTCTCTATGGAGGCATTCGAGGTGTTTCTTCAGGGCATCGCGGCGGACGAACGCACGGCCGCAGATCTCGCACTTGTGATCCTTCTGGCCGTTGTGCCGTTTCACGTGCAACGCCAGGTTCGCCGCGCAGGTGAACGTGCCCGAGCAGAGGCCGCAACGGTACGGTTTTACTTGGCTGTGAGTCCGTCGATGCTGCACCAGCTGCCCTCCTCTCGCGAAACTCTTCTCGCACTCCGGACACTTGTACGGCTTGAAGCCGGTGTGCGTTCTCACGTGAAGCTTCAGTCTCTCCTTTAAAGGGAACTCTTTGCCGCACTCGTCGCACTTGAAGATTGGCCCTGCACCGTGCACGATCTTGTAATGATTGCGTAGTCCACCGCTACCCTTGAATCGGGCATCGCACACCACGCAACAATACTTCTTCTCCTGATTCTCGTGTCGCCCTCCGTCCTCTCCTCCTCTTCCATCCTCCCCGTTCTCCCTTCTCGAAGAAGAGGAGGACGACGATGACGACGACGACGACGACGAAGAGGACGAGGACGAGGAGGAGGAGGAGGAGGAGGAGGAAGAGGAGGATTCAACGACGACAACCACCACGTTACCAGAGACGTCCGCTCGAACTTTCAACCGATTATTGTTCTCACTCTCGTCGAGGTAGTCCCCGATCGTTGTTGTTTCGAAGCTTAACTTTGGTTGCTTCGTCGAATTCTCGAACGACGATCTCGATTTCTCCGTCCTCGCGTCGAACGCGATGTTTCTCCCAGTGCTGGCAGAGATCGCCATCCGATCGAAAAACACGCCATCGGTGCTGATCCTCGAGTAACTCTCCGAGCTCCCGTTTTCCCTCTGTTCACTCTCGTCCATCGGCTCGCGACGATACACGTAAATCTCATCGTTCAACTGGTTACTCTTGTCAAGGTCCAGATAAGTGGCCGCTTCCATCTGTCTGTCGTATTCGGACGAATAATTCCCCTTGGCATCTTCGATCGGGCGCCGATCTCTCGACCCTACGCCGCCGTTCTCTCCCTCGTTTTCCTCCGCTCTTCTCTTCCCGATCGTGACACCGGATATCGTTCTCCTTTTCGGCGATTTAGTTGATCGTCCGATCGACGACTTTTTATCGATGCGTTTTCGCTTCCTTTTCTTCATCCTCGTCCCACCCTCGACGACCCTTCGATTGCCGTTTTTCTTCTCTTTCCCCACATCGATCTCGAGCACACTGGCCACATTTTCCAACCGTTCCTCCACTCGTTTTCGCACTCTCTCTCCTCGCCACTGTTTACCCTCGTCGGCCTGGCCGCCGCTCTCCTCTATCCTAGCGCAGAATGACAAATGGTTACGCGGGGGAAGTTCGTGTTCCTCGTCGTCGTTGTTGCAACAACCGTCGACGTTCGTGAAACTGCGGAGGATTTTCAATGCGTCGGTCGCGTCCGTGTCCGTGTCCGTGTCGGCGTTTTTAAAAATTCCATTCTCACGGATTCGCGACTGTTTCACCGGTAGCAGCTCTGTTAACTGAACCTCCTCCTGCTGATGCGGTTGTTCGTTTTCTGCTACCTCGCTTAAAACTGTCTGCTCTTGCATATCGAGCATAGCCATTTGACTTTTATTCCCTTTTTATCTCACAGCGAGACATCCGTACGTTCTCTCCCTAGCTCTTCCCCTCAACTCGGAGAGACTTCAACGCTTGGTGCCATTTATCGAAACGCCGAGCGCGTTAATCGCTAGTCCTCTCACTTGTCCGCTCCATTTCGAAAACCGCGCGACGCGTTCGTCATCGATTTCTTGCTTTTTTTTTTCGAAGAAGCTTCCTGTCGGTATATATTCTCTTCGAAGAGCACGAAACGGGAAAAAAACGGGAGATGGAAACAACGGAGGTGAAGAAGCGAATGAGCGCGTTCCCAAAGCAACTACAGCCAGTTATCGCATTCTTATCGTTTCGATATTTCCTCTCCGCTTCCTCTTCCACCTCCTGCTCCTCCGCCTCCTCCTCCTGCTCCCCTCACTCTCTCTCTCTCGCTCTCTCACCGTAGCTCGTTCTCACCGTCTCTGCACGATCTACAGTGTCAGCTTTTCAGTCGTTGCCTCGAATCAAACGCGCGTGTCGCGGCACGACGTTTAACTTTATCGCTAGACGCTCCAAGCGTCTCGCAGCGCAGAGGGTAAAATGGTAGAAAGAAGGGGCTAATCCCCTTTCCCTTCTTACTTACGATTCCGATGCACGCTCGCCAGCAACCACTTCCCTTTTCGCGTACTAGCTTTCTGCAAATACGCGTTTGCTCGGTGCGCGCATTGGAATCACCGGGAGAAGGTTGTTAGAAGGATACCGGAAGCAGTCGAGCAGCAGCGCTAAAAGCGATAGCCCGGGGAAAACGGTTCGTTGGCGTGTTGTTCGCGAATCGAATCCAGCGGAGTGATCGCGTGGGAACATTGACTAGCGTCGAGAGATACGCGCGGACACGCGATAATTCCTGGCCTCTGCTCAACGGGACGATTCCACGTTCTGTGCGAAAGGGGCTGTGTGTTTTGTCGGTCGCGGTCAGAAGGAAACGGAACGGACGACGGGGTTGTTGCTCGCCACGACGATCGACTGACTGGCTGGCTGGCTCTTCCTCGCGACGCTACGCCGATGGTACTTCCTCGACGGCGAGTGCGCGCCTTTTTCCACGCAAGCGCAATTCGCGGTCGATATCGCTCTGATTATACCCCTCCGCAACCACCCTCGCAACCAACCACCCTCTACACTCTGATTCAGACTCTTTCCATGTGTCCCATTCCTTCTTCCAACCCTCTACTACTACTACTACTACTACTACTACTACTTCTACTACTACTTCTACTACTATTACTACTACTTCCTACGATCCTCCCTTATTCTTCCCTGCAGCTCCTCTTTTTTCTCTTCTTCGCAAACGGTCATTACCTCTGCCTCTCTCAGATAGCTAATTAGCTTCCAACGTGTTGCTCGATCGCCTCCAGAGATCTTCGCGATTCTTCGTACACGCTTCGTACGCGCATCGATTCACCCACGTACGGTTGCCCGCGCAACACACCACCCATCCACGGTGAATACCTGTGCTCTACTACCCCCACAGCCAATGTCTCTCTCTCTCTCTCTCTATCTGTTGTATTTTTCGAAAATTGCAACAACCTACTTCTCCCTTCCTCTCTTATTTCTTTTCGTTACTTTTCAACCTGGTCCCCGTTGTCACACGATGGAAATCGTTTCTCTCAAGATTTTCCTACGCATCGATCTCTCCTTCTCTTCTTCTCCTCCTCGCTCGTTCGCTCGACCAACGATACGAGTCTCTCCTCTCTCTACCGGTCTCGTTCGACGATAACACGCGCTGCTCTGACGTCGCGGCGACCGCATTCGATACGAATGAAAAAATAATTCTCCTCTATACTCGAACGTATCCGTTACCGCCACCTTGAGGACTCGAGAGAATCTGCATGTTCGAGATCGTTCCGAACAGTGAGTTGGGAAATGCTCACTCTGCCCGCTACAACGCATCGATGTTACTGGCGAAAATGGCGACTGGAACAACCGCGACGCAATTCTTCTCCGGTGACTTTTAACACGTTCGAATCATTGTACGTCGCAGTGATCCGTAAGATTTCGAGAAAGATTCTCTCTACTCGAACTATTCCACGGTTCGTTATCTCTCCTTTATCTTTTAAACGAACCTACTAATTCAATATCGCTCACTCCCACGATCTTTTCCGATTGTACCATCACGATTAAAACTCCTAGAATGTTGATGATGCGCGCGTGCGCACTCTCCGTCATCGATACCCTACGAGTACATTCGATCAACGGTTTCTTTGGTAACGCATATATATATTCCCTTTGGTAATCAATTTCAACGCCTAACCATACACAGTCGTTATCATTATCTTATTACGATCGAGTAGTTACATGTGCACATATCAACCAAGTTTCGTACGCAACACTTGGTTTTTTTTTTTTTTTTTACTAGAACCGCGACTATATTTGCCCCGGAGGACTTTTCAAGACAGGATCTCGACGAGATTCGCCACTCGATCCACTTATCGCGCTTCTATATTTATCACGCTCGAACGTTTCGAGTTGATCGCATAATCTTCCCTTATCTCGACGCGTCATAATTTCCTCCTTAAGGAGTCAAGTCTTCATTCCTTGACTAGATTGCGCGCGCACGCCACCGAGTATCATTTCGTTATTCGCAATTTCATAGTTGTCGGCTCGCTTTCTTTATATACGTACATATATATACCCACGCATCGTATGTACAAAAGACAGTTTACTCCCGTGTCGATTAGTGTAAGTGGTGAGTTAGTAGTCTTAGGCCTCTCCCCCTTTTGAATCGCTCCCTTGATTAGCGCGAAAAGCGAAGAACCCGCCACCATCTGAAAGAAACCAAGAGAAATACCAACGGTATTTCTTTGCTGTCTTTAATCTAGTAGTGTATCGTCGTCTATGGCCGATTAATAACCGATTTATAGCTTACCACAAGTTTGCCGTTAATCCCAAGAAAGTAACATTTCGAAACGATTACGATCATTGTTCAGGAATTTTAACCCGTATTCTCTGTATTCCAACGTCAAAGTTCTTGAGTTGTTACTTGAAGCACGAAAGCATGCTGCTTTCAACGTTTTCAATGGCCCGTTTTCGTACGAATACACGTCCGAAAGGGAATAAATAAAAAAAGACAGTCTACCTGCCTCCTAGAGGTGCATGATCGAATCGAAAGCGAGTCGCGCATCGATGGTGTAATAAGCTCGCATCGTTTCTCGTGTCTCTCGCTTCTTGGATTAGGGCTTGCGATTGCTCGCAACCACGCGTACACATGTCCGCGTGTCCGTGTGTTCGCGAATATTCCCATCTGTACAGAACCGCTCGCTATATAGAGCTCGTGCTCTCGTTTCATCGTGCGACGTGACACACGTTTGTGCGCATTGAACTTACCAGTCTCGAAAGAGAGACGGTTCGTGCGTGCGTATCGCGTGATTTCGTCGTTCAACCGGTGCGAATTTCCCGCCAGTTCGACTCCTACTCGACTGATCGTACCTCGAAACCACTCCGAATTTTCGTCCAATTCCCCGTGACGATACAAATTCTACTCACCAGGTTCGACGGGGCTCGGTATTTCAGCTGTCACGGCAAGAAAGGGGCTTCCTTGCGAAGCGTCCGCTTAACCCTACCCTCGTATCGCCATCTTCGAATCACATTCGACTCTGCCGATGAAATTGACAAGCCGGATAGAGGGGCGAAACGAACAGCCTACAGAAATATAGTACCGTATTCACCCGATAGATAGCGAACGAGATATCGACACACTGCGAATTTCGCATCATATTTTTTCTATTCACCGTATCCTGACCGATCAAGCTGTGTGAATAGAATCGTGCAAAACTATCGGTAAATAATTACCGATCCTCCAAGATATTTCGATCCCACGGATTATTTTAGAAGAATGTCCTTGCCATTAGTCGGCATGGTAGGTCTCCTTGTAACGTGCTTAGAACCACGCCCTAAATGCACGTCTTATGATTTCGTACGATATTAAAAATATATCTGTGCAAAACGTTCAGCAATGAAAAAATGTCACGAGTACGTGCATGATACTAGTGGCTATTTTTTTTTTTAAAGATGTTAACTTTGTGTCGTCCAGTAGTTAATATGATACACAAAGTCAGTGACTTCAATGCTTTTCAAATTTTACAATAGTGTGGAACACTGAAATCTTGTGGATACATTTAGCGACAGATTTAACGACTCGTTTCTCATCGATGTCCACACATTTTATTTGGAACACGAAACAGTAGTATTTATGAGTAACAAATTATTTCATAATATACCTGAAAAAAACCAAAAGCATTCGCTTTTCGTAAAATCTTTTATGCTATTTATTCGAAGAATTGAATTTGAAACAATAATTTCATCCTATAGTAAAGTCACATCGTACCATTGTTTGTTGAACAAAGAAATTTCCACATTAAAAGTGTTTTTTCCGGAAAAGAGATTTTGAAACTCAAAGTGGCGCCGCCATTGTTGGCGCCGATAGCCGAACAACGGCGGAAAGAGACGAAGTTGGATAGGTGGAGAGGACAAGATCGAGTAATACAGACGTGAGTGGCAGTGCGGACGATACGGACGGTGTGCGAGCAAGTATAACGACACAGAAAACGTGGCCATCGCAACGTATCCCCGATCTTGCAGAATTTTTGCTCAGCTGTCACTCGAACCGCCCTCTTTCTCTCTCTCTCTTTCTATCGCTATCTTTCTCTCTCTCTCTCTCTCTAGCCCGTGTGAAAGCGGCGGTGGTCCGTGAGTGACGCGCCTCCTAGGATCACCGCGCATCTTCTCCGTCTATGCTTTGCGCTTCTTTTCTCGCCATTCTTCCGTTCGTTCGTTCATTCGTTCGTTCGTCCCTTCCTTCCTTCCTTCCTTCCTTCCTACTTTCATTCGGTCTCCTCCTCTCACGGATTCGTTGTTTCTCGGGGTCACAGTTGCGCCGTGTGTGCTCGACGGTATCCTGTGTTCTCTCACGTGAACCAACCACACCATAACCAAGACGTTGACAACGGTGACAACGTTGACGGTGCGACCATTGACGTTTAGTTCTCGATCGAGTGCGTCGCGTGTGTACCACCAGTTGCGTGTTGCGTAACTACGATTTTACGACAGCAACCTCCTCGTCCAGTTCGACAGAGGTTCAACGTTACTGGACACTACGTTTCTTCGGTTACTCGTAAAATCGGACTCCTGCGATCAGTTCGTAGAGCAACGGGTGAGTGTTGATACGATTCTAACAGCAATCATCAGATTCGTCGTATCGAAAATCGATCAAACCATCGAATCACCTGACGCGAAACTACCTGGTTTCACTAATCTTTTCATAAAGTTGTTCTTCATATTCGTAAATCTGAAATTTCTCACATTTCACGATTATACGCGTAT